AAAAAAAAAGCACTGAAAAGACGCAATTTAGGGCCGGGGAGATGGCTCAGTAGAAGACTGGTTGGAGTCAGATTGCCATGGATTCCAAAATTTAGGAAAGTAAAACAATCTCTAAAAAGATCTAATACCAATTTCTAATAGAACTGAACTGCGTTTCACCAAAAAACAGCTCGCTGCACAGCACAGATTACACTGTAATCTGATTTTGTAAACAAGCAGAATGGAAACTCTGAAGAAACACTGAGCAAAGAGAAGTTATCTGTATCTGCTGTGGTGGAAAGAAATACTTGGAAAGGCAAACTGCAAGTACAGTCTGCAAGTAACTGCTGGGGCCTCCCTGAGAGCCCGTCCTGCTCATTTGAAAGCAGTGAGAGTACCCTTTATGGGTGAGCTGTGGCTCCTTTATTAACTATTAATATCCAAATTTGGGAAAGTAAACTAAAACACACAATATTCTAGGAAGCTTCTGAGGCTTCCATAGGAGAAAAAAGATCACGATCACAATCACCATAACAATAGTAAGGTCACATGAGTTCTAAGAAGAGAAAAGGCGAAGTACTCTTAGAAAATGTGATGCAGCTAAGTCCTGGCTGAACATTATTTCCTTCTTCTCCTCCTCCCCCTTCCCTCTCGTGCCCCTTCCTCCTCCCCCCCTTTCTTTTCCCCCCATTTATGCATTTGGTACAGGGTCTCACTACGCAGTTCCGACTTTAGTGATCTGACTTGTAGTGATCATCTTGTTTTCAGCCTCCCCAACACTGGGATTACATGATGTGCCACCATGCCCATACTTGGTCGCAGGCTCAACTCGAAGGCTCAGATTGCCCCAGGGGTGGGGCTAGCGCGGCATGGGGAACAGGGGATCAAACCCTGGTCCCTGCACTTGCCAAAGCAGGCACTTTGGTCTGCTGAGCTATCTCGCTGGCCCTGAAGGTTTCTAAAGGTACACAAGTGTGCCAGAAGAAATGGCTGAAAACTACGATGAGCGTTTGACAGCACAGGTAATTGGTATGATAGCATAGTGTAAGACACTTTAAATCTGAGAAATCTGCAATTATTTGGATAAGGATTGGACCTTTATAAATATTTTATGGATTAAAGCACCAGCAGGGGCCAGGGAGATAG